TTATTCTAATCATACATATTTCTACAACAGTCCCTTTATATCATTTGGTCATCGATGACATGTCATGAAAGGGAGGACAGAGAAGCATAAACTTCAGCTGCACTTCAGAGAGTTTGTTTTTCACTGCAGCTTCAGTGTCACTTATTTGCTACAAGGAGGAGATATGACTCTCAGAAGTTTACCCAAACATTATTTTTTTCCTTGCATTTTCTAATGAAAGACAAGGGAATGAGCAAAGAACCAATATGGTATGTTAAAAGCACTAATCTAGCAATTCAAATTAACACTGGCAGCCAATGCACAATAACAACCCGGTCCTAAGCGCCAGCCAGCTGTTTAGGAATACCAAGAATGATGGCTTAAGTGATTTTGCACTTGAGCTTTCAATTTTATCTTTCTAATTGGTATTGCTCTTCTAGATTTTTACAAGAGTTAGTAGTTTAGTTGGAAACCAAATAATTGTTCTCTTTTCTGCAGAAACATACTCTTCACGAGGAAACCATAAAGTTCTCGAGACATATCTGTTCGAATAAGTGCTTGGGGAAGGGTGATAACATGACTGATCACAAGGGGTTGTCACCACTCTTATATCCTATGATGTTTGGTTGGTACAGGTTAGTGTGTACATATATTTTTTTCTCTCTCTCTTTGTTTCATTTTCTTTTTCTTTTTCTTTCTTTTTCCCTTTAGTAATGTGAACATTAGCATATGGATTTATGTCACTTTCATTATGCATTTTTTGATGTTTTTATAAATGTTCTAAAGATATTTATATTGTATATATTTTTTCTTTCTCTTCTGCTTCTCTTAGTAAAGTGATAGAGCTAAACCATATTCCCTAAAACAGACATATTGTGAAACAGCGGCGTAGAACAATGGGACGCAACGAAGTTTATTACGTAGGTCCGTGTGGTAGACGACTGCGCAGCGTAGAAGAAGTCTTCCGATATCTTCTTGATACTGAGTCCAATCTGGAAATTGACTGCTTCTCCTTTGAACTGGCAGTGGACACCTCTCATGAGTGGGAGCCGTTCAAAAAGATTGTCAACATTGATGTAAGTATTCTCTGCAGTGAGAATGTATAGCTTAACAATTTTCGCATATTGTTTTAAATGGTGGTGTGTGTGTGTATGTTTTTGCGTAGAAGAAGTCTTCCGATATCTTCTTGATACTGAGTCCAATCTGGAAATTGACTGCTTCTCCTTTGAACTGGCAGTGGACACCTCTCATGAGTGGGAGCCGTTCAAAAAGATTGTTAACATTGATGTAAGTATTCTCTGCAGTGAGAATGTATAGCTTAACAATTTTCGTATATTGTTTTAAATGCTGGTGTATGTTTTTTTTTTTTTTTTTTTTTTTTTTTTTTCCCACTATTCTTTTCTTTTTTTTGAATGCCTATATGTGATGCATTTGTTTTCTAAGGCATACTTTGACTTATCTTTATGTGTAGAAGAATTCTGTTATTATTATTATTATTATTATGATTATTATTATTATTATGGTTGTTATTGCTGTTATTATTATTAATTCTATTAATATTGTTATTATTATTGTTATTATTTTTATTGATATGACTATTGTCATTATCATTATTATTGCTGTAACTGTTATTGTCATTTTTGTTATTATAATGATTATTACTATTATTGTTGTTATTGTTATAATTATTACTATTATTGTTATTATATTATTTTGTTACTATTATTCTATACTGATGATACTTTGTTCTGTGATTTGTTATGCTTTGCAGATCATTTTATTGTTATTAATATTATTTTATATTTAATGCATAATATGATTTTTGCTCTTTTTTTTTCCTTCTTTTTTTCTTCTTCTTCTTCTTCTTTAATCCCTTTTTGGGAAATTTCTTTATTGTATGAATAAGGCTATATTCATTTCTTTTCACATTTGTAGATTTTATGGGCATTTTAAATTCTGGTGGGCTATGTTTGGCAGTTTATTATTGTTATCCTTTCTAGCATGGATGATGTTATTTATGTCACTGTCATAATTTTTGTTATGATAATAAGATGGACTTCTAACAGTTTATATTTATTTCTCAGGATGTATCCCTTGGAGAAGAAAATGTACAGATCTCATGCGTTAATTCCTTGGACGAAACCGCCCCTCAGACTCTAGTGTACAGCAATGTTCGACTTCCAACAGAACATGTGCCGCTCAACCTAGATCCAGAATTCTTAGTCTGCTGCGACTGTATAGACGATTGCCAGGTAAGAAATTGAGAGTATTAGTTTCAACACCTATTAAAAAAAATTTCTTTCTTTCTTTCTTTCTTTCTTCATGTTCTTTATTTCAGTGTATTTTATGATTTTTCTTCCTAACCCAGTGCCTCCTTTCCTGGGCTTAAATGCTGAAAGGTCTACCCTCAGAGGTTGCACTTAGATATAGTATGCCATGTCTAATGTAGTTAGTTGGCACAAGTCTTTTCATGACTTATATGCACCAATTAAATTCCTGAGTTGTGGCTGTGATACAGATATGAAATATTGAAGCCTAAGTGTTATATTTTGGCCCAAATCCTTACTAAAGTATCCATTATTATTTTTAAGTCCTTATGTTAGAAGCATACTAGAAATTATGACTGGACTGAGACAACAGAAGAATGATATATTTGTTGCCAGTGAGATGGATGTCGTTTATCATAAACAAAGGATAAGATAAAACACTGTATTTCAGGACAAATCAAAGTGCCCTTGTTGGCAGTTGACAATCCAAGGAACCCGTATTTTGGATCGCTCCGAGAACCCCAATACAGGTTATCACTACCGCAGATTGTCTGAACAAGTACAAAGCGGTATTTATGAGTGCAATTCTAGGTATGACTTTTTATGAATATTTTGTCCTATATTTGCTGTTTTAGAAATTATATAAGTATTCTGTAAATAGGTAATTCACAGTCAGATTGTTTAAGTGTGCTAAAGCATATTCTGCTATAACTGTATTATTATGTGTTATTTCCTATCTTCAGTCATTTTCAATGTAAAGTAACTTTACAGATGTAAGTGCAGCAACATGTGCTTAAATCGCGTTGTGCAACACCCACTGAGACTGAAGTTGCAGCTCTTCAAAACTGCACGTCGAGGTTGGGGCGTTCGAACCTTACACGACATTCCTAGAGGAGGATTCATCTGCGTTTATGTGGGCAAGATGCTGAATGAGACTATTGCTAATGAGGTTTGAATTTCCTTTTTTATGGTTACCAGTTAATAATTTCTTTCTGAATCTAGAGAATTATGTATGAATCATATTTATTGTAACAAAAGTAGAACAGGTATGAATTAGAATTAATGTCTTCACAGTGTGAGAGATGTATTAGACCAGTTTCAGTTATATCTTCATCAGAAATACATGTATTTCTGACAAAGATATAATCAAAACCTGTCAGATATACTTCTTGCACAGTGAAGGTATTTATTCTCATCCATACACTTTATACAGAATTATGTCTGTAAAATTGTGAAGCAAAAAACTAAAAATCATATTTTCATTGCAGTAATGAGAAACTCCAATTAAAAACTTCTTTTTTTTTCACCAAATAGGAAGGCAAGATGATAGTGGGTGGAGATGACTACTATGCCGAGCTGGATTATATTGAAGTCATGGAAAATGCGAAGGAAGGATATGAGGAAGAAGTAGAGAATATTGAGGAAGAAACTAGCAAGCTCTCCACAGAAGGAAGTGCAATTGGTATAATAACTTTTAGTGTCCACAGTCTTATTAAGGTTTAATACCATCTACTAAAGTAAAATAATGCTATGGGAAAAAAAATGGATAATATGTGTTCCTGTAATTGCATTTTTACCAGTTACATATTTGTAATTAGTGAAACTTTTTATTCTCGTACATCTGCTTTTTCTTGTGTATGCTTAGCAAATTACATGATTGTGTTAATTTTTTGCAGTTTTACCACAGTCTGACAATTTGTGTCTTATTGTCATTGTTATCATTACCACTATAATGTTGTTTCCTTTTTTATGGACAGGAAATCTTCTCAATAGATATCCAGATAATGCAGCCTTCCCTATGTCTCAGAAAGATATTAATTTTCTGTGCGCGTGTGTGTGTGTGTGTGTGTGTGTGTGTGTGTGTGTGTGTGTGTGTGGTGAGTGTGTGTGTGTGTGTTGAGTGTGTGTGTGTGTGTGTACATGTGTGTGAGTGTGTGTGTGTGTGTGTGTGTGTGTGTGTGTGTGCAGAAACAAAAGGAAAGGAAACAAGAAGAACATGGCTAATATGCATCTCCATTCCTCAATTAGCTGGCTCAGATTCCACAGACAGCGACGGTTTCTATAGCGAAAATGAAGTAGACGACACAAAAGATGATCGGGACTTCAGCCATCCGACATACATGAAAAAAGTGGGACTAACTAAGAGAGAAAAGTCTGCTCGCCTTCAGGAACGTTCATCGCGAAATAACTTCCTAAAGAAAGGAAAAGGTATGTGTTGTCTAGGGTGAGGTTAAAATCTTCTCATGCACCAGCTTTTTTTTTTTCTCACAATCATTCTGGGCATCCAAAACACCCAAGTTCTTCCATGACATGGCACTAAGCAGATATTCAATCTATTAGACATAGACAAAGATGCAGAGCTAGAAAAGAGCACAGATATCAGCATATCATGTAGACATCACAAGAAACAAAGACTGTAAACCTAAAACAATCATCAGAAATCATCCCAAGAAAATGGAGAACAAAATACTAGTTTCATTAAACCAAGTGTTTATATTCCTACCACTTTCTAACCAACCCAGAATCAGTATACATTATTTACTCACCTTGAACTAACAATAAGCATTAATGTTATACCATATGTATTGTGTCTTGAACCCCTCTAATCCTTTGCTCGTTGGCTTAGGAGACTGGGGCCCAATGTAGGGGATCACCCCTGCCTTGGCCCTCAGCCTTCACCTCAACTAATTGTTTCTTCTCCCCCTTTCCTTTTCCTTCTCTTCTTTATCCCCTTCTTCCATCCATTTCCCAAGGTGTTAGAGTTGTGCTAAAAGGATGAAAGGTTGGCTTTGTGTCAGTACAGTACTCCCTTACCCCTCACAGGGACCCAGAGGGTAAACAGTTTCCTCTCCCCATTTATTTCAGGCTCACCATTGCCAATAATGAAATTTTTTTTACCTATATTAGGGGCATTAAGACTTGCCCCTCCATCAATTAGCCTATCTAAATTTAATTTCATGGGTTTCCCGACCTCTGGCTCTCCTTTTACCACAGCTACAACTGATAGTAATATCCCCCCATCAATGTTTGCAGTCAACCCTGTTCATTCTTAATTATCCACCCAGGTCATTATCCTGCACAGTATTCTTCATTGTCTACCTCCACCCCACTTATTACTACTCTTCATCCTTATTGTTCTCCTCCCAACAGTACTACCTCTCTCCATACCACCCCATCTTCCTCCCGACCTCATCCTTCTACTGCTTCCACCTCTACAAACCTTTTGAGTACCTTTATTGGCCCAGCCAAGTGGGATCAGTTCCTTGTGTTTCCCCCTACAGCTCCGTATTCTGACAATACCCTTCTCTTCCAACAATGTCTCCAAAATCAGGTAGGCAAAGTTTCCTTTCGCAGTTGTTCTGATTGTTCATGCCTAGTCACAGTTCCATCTGAGTCCCAAGCTCGTGCACTATCTACCCTGACTGACCTCACTGGGAAACTCCTTCCTTAATACTTTTTCTGGAACTGTTTCCATCTCTCCAACTGATTGTCATGTCTATGACAAGGACTGTCAGACTGTGAAAACAACTCACATGCCTCATCGACTATGATGCAGTGGCAGTCCAGTGCTACACTATTCCTCCCAGAGGCCAACTTAAGTCCTACACCAGTATTGCCAAGATTACTTTCTGTAGAGATGACCTCCCTCATAAAGTTTATATTGGTGGAGTGTCCTGCCCTTTCCAACCCTATCCACCTCTTCCCTGTCAATGTCAGAAATGTTGGTATTACTGCTCAGTCACCCAGATACTCCAATCTCTACCACTTCCCCAGTGCCAACCCCTCCCCCTCCTTCTTACTCTACCTGTTGTACCAGACAATCCAAATGTTCCATTTCACCTTCTCTTACCACATCCTCTCCTACAACCAGCTCACCCTCTGCTTCTTGGACATCTATTCCCTCTTCTCCTCCACATAAGAAAATCATTATTTCTCAGACCTCCCCACCCAACTCTTGAAGACATCCAAAAGTTCATAAACATGACTCAAGAGAATAACCCATTCTCTCATCTCTAATCCCTTTTATTGCTCAACATTCAAAGTATCTGCCAATATCCATCCTCCTCCTTAAGTTCCCCCTACCCATCTTCCAGCCACTCACCCCAAAAATACACTATCCTTTCCTCCTCCATGGGCACCATTCCCTCTTCTATCCCCATTATCCTTACCACACTTACCTAAATGCTCATCTAACTCACAACATTGTCCTTCTGTGAATCCCTCCCCTCCTAACATTCTTCCCAATACTTCACCACCTTCCCCTGTTCCCTTATTTCATTCTCAGGATTCTTCTCCTACAATCATTCATTACTGTAATACCATTTGATTGTTTCATAATAGTTCTGTTGCAGTCTTCCCATACAGTGTTATTCCCCCTTCCTCAGGCACATACTCTCCATCTGATCTGATTGCCCTATACCATTAACCACATCCTTTTGCAAATCTCCACTGTATTCCATTTGCTCTCCCTCTATACCCTTTCCACTAATATTCTATCCTTCAGCATTTAACAACTTTTGACATCTAACACATCTTATCCTGATTGTTAACTCATTTTCACCCTTTTTGCCACAATACTTTACCATAGGGCTATATGGCCTTTGATGTCTAGCACATTTATTTCTTCTAACCATTAACCATTGTGTCTTGATTCATAGAATGTTCACATCATGGTAAAGTTTGTCAGAGTATATGTGTCTGTGTGTGTCTGTGGTTTTACAAATAAACAAGAGTTATGATTTTTTTTTTTTTATTGTAGAAAGTAAAGATGGAAGTGGATCAGGCTCTGCTCCTGCATCAGATGATGAAGCATCCAAGTCATCACAGCCTGAAAAGCCAAAGGAAACAGAACCAAAGGAGGATGCAAAATCAGAAGAAGCAACTGATGATTTTGATGATGATGATGAAGCAGGTAATTCTGATATAATGCATTGATAGTAAAGGGAGCTATGATTTTTTTTCTATTTGTTTAATCTCCCTTCTTTATTTTGTTTTCCCATTTGTACAGTTGATAGGTAATGTGTTATTTCCATGTCTTTATAACATATGGATAGCATATAGCTTAATTGGTTGTTACCCAAAAATTCTCAGATGAAAAGCAGCGCCGTCCACAAACCTTCGCCCCAAGTCAGCTCTTGGCTACCCCTCCAAAGCAGAGAGCAAACAAGAGTGTGAGAGAGTATTTTGGAAAAGACGAAGCAGTATACATCATGGATGCCAAACACACAGGCAATATAGGCCGATTCTTGAATGTGAGTGTAGGGTATTGTAATTTGAGATGTATAACCATGTATATAAAACACATTATTTTGTAATTTATAGTAGGAACTAATATACTTGGATTATTTTTTATGCATACTCACAGACAGGCATGTTAACATACACAAATCAGACTGCCATTAACTTTAATCAGTAATTTTAATCAGAAATTCAGTAAAGCAAATTCCCTTCCAGCACTCGTGTGAACCAAACGTCTTCGTGCAGAATGTCTTCGTTGATACTCATGACCTAAGGTTCCCATGGGTGGCATTCTTTGCAATCAGCAACATCCGTGCAGGCACTGAACTCACATGGGACTACAGCTATGAAGTGGGCAGCGTACCGGGCAAGACTAAGTACTGCTACTGTGGTGCCAGAAAGTGCCGAGGGAGGCTGTTGTAGATTGTATTTTACTTCATGGTTTACAAGGATAATTCCATGTCATAGTAGTATTTAAAACAAGGTATTTAAGTATCATTTTAACAGATAACTTTAAAAATGAGGCACAACTTAAAAGCAATGAATCTGTATTTTACAATTGATATGGGAATTTTGTTTTTATTGCCAACCCACTGCTTCAAATCTCACTTCACATTTAATCAGTATCATTATCTTTATCCCACTGACATTGATGTACAGTTAGGCTGTCTTGTATATTTCTCTACGTTTTCAAACCACAATCTATGGTCATTTCATTGTATAAGAATGAGTCTTATCATAGTAAAAGATAAAGTTCCCATATCTGTTATCTTCAAGCCCTTGGTAAGAGACTTCTTGAATATTCAATACCCTTGTAAATCATTAGACCAAATATATATTTGGAACTTGAAAATCCATTTTTTGTTACCCTTTTTTGGAGTGTGGTGGGGGGCAGCATTAATATTACATGATTCAATTGGAATATTTAAGTAAAGGAACAAAAAAACATTAAATATTTGAAAAATCAACCAAATGCACTGTTATTCTTACTGTAACCCAGTTATTATTCTCTTCATTATGATATTCTCTTAATTGAACATTAAACTTTATATAATGATCTGATGGGCTGACATGTAGGAACTTTACAATGTCACTCTCTTACTGATACAAAATACTTAGAATTTAACTCTTTAAATATCTAATAAATGACATAAATATTTCATCTGAAACTGTCAAGGAAAATGTGAGTAATAGCTAATGGAAAAATAAAACTTTCAGGTGAAAACATTTTTGAGTGGTACATTTTATTCGAAATTCACACGTGTATAAAACGAGTCAATATATTACTTATATTAATTGCTTAACACTAATGATTTCTGTAGGTTTAAATATAAATGTCATGAATATCAACAATAAATGAAGTGTTACTATCAATTAAATATGCTTGGGAATTCATAAAATAATACTGGTTGATAGTCCTTTATAATATTCAGAAGACACATTTTGTTCCAGCAATTGTGTTTTTTTTTTTCTTTTCTTTTCATTTTACATAAAGGCAACAAAATAACTTGTTATATCTGTAGTTGAATTCATTGATAAATTAAATTCTCAAATAATTTCAACAGATGTCAACTTACTCTCTAAGACATAAACTCAGCACCAGCATTCAAAAAAATAATCGCATTTCCCTAACCAAAAGCATTATGGAGGAGGTCCCAACACTGCGTCATGGACTCCCACCAACTGCACATGTGACAAGTTGAGGCAAGGCATTTCTCCCTCCTCTCTGTTGCTTTCTGTTGATATCCTTAGAAATTCCTGTCGCCAAAGTTCGAGGAGAATGATTTGTTGACGGAGGATGAGGAAGAGGAGGTGGAGAAGGACTTGGTAATGCGAGACGAAGAGTCCATGGGGGCCATGTTTCCGAAGTTTGACATATTGGATAAGTTAGACATGTCGGAGAAATTGGACATATTGCTGAAATTTGACATTTCTGAGAATTTAGATGAAGCATCGCTAAAGTGGGAGAAGTTAGACATATCACTAAAACCTGATCTACCAGACATAGTCGAGGCCATAGAGTCGGTGGACATTTGCGACATGAGCGAGTGACCGCGGCCCATCAGGTCCTTCAGATCCCCGAATCCCGAGGGGAAGTTGCCAGACTCAAGGAAAAGTCCAGGGCCGCCCATGGAGGAGCTGAACGACTGTTTAACGGACGATGTGGAGGAGGAACTCTTTTTCACCGACATGACGGAGCCATCGGGCATATGTTGAATGCAAGATTCGCTCACTTCGGCGGCATCAGCGGCTTCGGAACGCTTGAACTTTCCCTCGGGGTCCTCCTCGTGGCGGGTCATTTTGGTGGAAGCCTCGCGTCGTGCTGCCTGGCTGTTCTTGTCGGTAATTTCAGCAGCTGTTTCGCGGTGTTCCATAACACCGTCATTCTCCTGGACGACGTTGGAAGTCTGAGAAGTCATGACGCGGCGGCCGTTCTCCTCCGTGATGCTCACGCTCGTCTGGTTGCCGGATCCTGTGCCAGCCGTTGGGGCCTGCGCCATTGGCTGCGGACGGGCCTGCTGGTACATGCTCTGAGATGGCTGCTGAGGCATTTGCTGGGACATTTGCTGGGGCATTTGCTGAGGCATTTGCTGGGGCATCTGCTGGGGCTTCTGCTGAGGCATCTGCTGGGGCATCTGCTGGGGCATCTGCTGGGGCATCTGCTGAGGCATCTGCTGAGGCATCTGCTGAGGCATCTGTTGAGGCATCTGCTGTGACATCTGTTGAGGTTGTTGCTGGAACACTTGCCGAGGAGGCTGTTGGAACGTTGGCTGCTGGAACATCTGCGGCCGAGGCTGCTGGAACGTTTGTTGGGGTTGATACTGCGGCAGTTGCTGAGGAGCTTGCTGTGGTTGCTGCTGCATGCCTGGAGGTCCCTGCGTGTACATCGGCTGCGGCGTTGGCTGACTCGGACTGGTCACGTTGAAGGTAACTTCGGACCGGACAGGAGCAGCCCCTCTGTTAACGTCGAACTCCATCGTGGAGGAAACGCGCGAGGATTCGGAGCCGGCTTCGCTGGGGGCGGGAGACGTGCATGTGCTGGTCTTCGTGGAGCCGAAGCCAGAATCACTGAACATGAGCTTCTCGCGCATTTCCTTTGGCAGACTATCGAAGCCGTCAAGCGAGGATCCTTCAAAGCTGGAAGATGACTGAACAACGGTCCTGGAGGAAGTACTCTTGAAGGATGAAGTAGAGTTGTTGTCACTCTGCTGAGAAAAGGAGGATGACTGCTGAACGCTGGAGGACGAGTTACTTGTCTTGGGTCCCTGGGTGATTGCAGCGCCTTCCTGCTGGGTCAGAATTAGTACGTTGTCATTTGCAATTTTACTGAGTTTGCAGAAGAGAAAAATAACACAAACTACAAAACGAGGAGAGATGAACATACATGTTTACTAACCACAAAGAACTATCCAAATCATTCTCAGTGACTTGCCATTTTATTGCTTACATCTTGAGAGTGATATCATCTTTAATTCTGCCAATACTTAATCAGGTTATCAGTATCGTCAATATGATATCGTTTTCTGTACAAACCTTCTTTGGCGCCTTGATAGTCAAAACACCATCCTTGGAGAGAGCAGTGGTCACTTGGTCAATGTCAGCAGCCGGAGGTAGAGAGAACTCCTTGTAGAAGGACTTGCTGGATGTGGAGCTACCGTCCTCCGATACCTGCAAGGAAACGCAGCCTCAATGAATTCTACAGATGTTTAATCGGTCAGTGTAGTGTTATTACAGGAAAAAAATATATAATTATATATATTAGACTACAGCTCTAGTCAAGGTAAGGAGTACATGGAATTGAGATATGTTTATAATATAAGATATGTTTATTTTATTACTTTTTACAAATTTCAAACAAATGTGTATAGAAAAAAAAGTTCAGGCTTAATTCGTCGACCTATCAATTTCATGCAGTGTACTATATACCGTGTATTACATGCACTGTATGTAGTTATGATTTCACCCCTTTTATGACATAGCTTTTAATAAAGTCTGCATTGTTTTTCCCCGAAGAGTTAACTCCACTTCGAAATAAACATAAGAGCATACAATCAAATCAACCTACACCTAAAAACACGCATGCACGGATACAATACACCCCATAGTATATAAATCATGACTGCTTTTATACAACTGTCTAGCAAAACGGTCTACGAAGCTTACCTTCTGATAGGATCCCTCAACCACAATCCTGTCGTCAACGGCTCTGACTTGGAGTTCCCGAGGGTTGAAGTCTTTCACGTCCATGACAGCCTGGAAGGAAATTCAATCGTGTTGCTTTCTCTGATTTTGATATTTGAAAAGGGTGGGGGTTGTCTGGTACTACTTACTACCTAATACCTCAATACAATAATAAGCGTAATCACACAATCACAGCTTCTCATTACCTGGAATTTGCCATCCTTCTCGTTGATCTGAATGGCCTGGGAAGCGTACAGGTCTTCGTCGATCTTTGAAGAACGGATTTTGCTGTACACATCCCGACACTGAGACCTTGAGCCGGAGTCAACCTGTGGACAGAGAGCAGCGGGGTTATGTACGGCTCGGTTTTTATTATTGTTATTGTTATTGTTGTTACTGTTATTATTATTGTTATTTATTGTTTGTAGTAGTAGTTGTTGTAGCAGCAGAAATAGTAGTAGTAGTAGTAGTAGTAGTAGAAATAGTAGTAGTAATAGTAGAAATGTAGTAGTAGCAGTAGTAATATCATTATTATCATCATTATTATTATCATTATTGTTGTCATTATCATTTCTATGATCATTATCTTAATTTTTATACTTTTATTATTATTATTATTAATATTATTGTTATTATCATTATCATTATCATTATCATCATTACTATTATTATCATCATTATTATTATTATTATCATTATTATTATTATTATTATTATTATCACTATTATTATTATATCATCACCATCATCATTATCATTATTACTATTATTATCATTATTAATATCATCTTCATCACCATTATTAACATTATTACTCTCATCATTATCGTTATTGCCGTTACAATAATATTAATATTAATAATAGTTATCAGAATAACAATAATAGTAATAATGATGATGATAAGAAATAACAAGAAATGCAGGAGGAAAATCAACAAGAGCAACGAGAACACCAATGATAATATCAACAACAATAATAACAATAATGAAAATATAATACTAATGATAATAAGTATAATGATAAAGATAATAAGTATAATGATAAAGATAATTACAATGATAATAATACTAATGATGATGATAATGATAACAACAACAATAATAATAAAAATAATCAAAATATGATAATAATGATAATGATAACAGCAACAACAATAATAATGAAAATAATGAAACTATAATAATAATGATAATAATGAAACTATAATAATAATGATAATAAAAATATAATAATAATGATAATAAAAATATAATAATGATAATGATAATAATAACGATAATAAAATATAATATAACAACAGCAATAATTATAATAATCATTATTATTATTATCATTATCATCATCATTATTAATATAACAAATAACCCAAAACAGCGGCCTCACCTTCAATCCTCGGTTATCGAACTTGTCCAGGACGGTCTGGACGGCGCGGTCGAAATCCTCCCAGGCCTCCTTGAAAAAAGCGTCATCGAAAAAGCCCTCGCGCTGCACCACGTTTAGGGACTTGCCAGATGCCATTGCTGAAGCTTCCTGGAATGGGAGAGAGAGAGAGAGAACGATGAGGGAGGGGTTGTTGGAGAGAAAGGTGGGAAGAGGAGAGAGAGAGAGAGAGAAGGTTGGAAAGGGGAGAGAGGGAGAGAAGGGTGGGGATGGAGAGAGGGAGAGAATGG